GATAACTGGGATAACGAACCGTTTTTGTGTTTCACTGTACGATTTTTAATATTTTTTGTCTCAAAATGAAGTTTATATTACACGTGTTAACATATCGGTAGAGGTGCACCAACAAACGGTTCAAAATGAATATCAAACTGTGAGTAACCTATTCCAATTACAGATTTCATCACATGCGATAAGGTTCTAAAGGGACTTACATCTTCCTGATCACCGACCCGCCAAACCCCATCTGGGCCCACGGATTCGGTTTCTCTTGGATCACCCACATTCCGACGATAGGCTTGCGGCTTTTCATCTTCCTCATCATATTCTCCATGGTCGTCTTGTTCTTCAGTTTCCGATTTTTTCTGACAGTGAAAGAGAATCGGATAGTCCGAGTGTGATGCTCNCAAAACGATCATGTTAGCACAAATGCATTGGCATGCTTCAATCACGCTGATGCGTGGGCTGTTTGATTTTTATGTGAAACCCAATTTATGTAATTCTCAGTTAACTTCTGTGATTTCGATTGGAGATGGTCCGGATCCCTTGATGGAATTTTCCTTATGTCCGGTTAAAATCAGTTCGTCAAACTGGTTCATCAGTTTTCATCAATACAGCTCAATAGTACTTACAATGAACCATATAACCCTTTCGGCATTCTGCTTTATTAAATGAACAACAATCAAATTTGTGAAACTGAATGTTCAGCTCAAACATCAATAAAGATAAAAACAAAAGAGTTCAGAGCAACACATGCAATAACGCAATTCTTTGTTGTTGAGTAATTCGACAGAGAAAGTTTACCCTTTCTCTTATTCTGAACTGTAAAAACTTAAAAAAAGCGCTATCAAGATCTGTGAAAAAAATCTGTGGGTTTGAATATTGACCGTTGGAATCTTGGGCTCTGAAGCTGCTAGAACGTTTCCTGGTTACAGAGATAAATTCAGTTCAGACTACCACTTTGAAATGAAGTGAAGAATAAACATTTTCCATTTTCCGAATGACAGAGAATCGAATGGGGCTACTGGAAATTAAAAGACAAAAAAAATTTTAGCATTCGCATCGTTACCTGGTTTTGCAGCATAGTAGCGTAAAGACCATTTTGGGCCACCAACTGCTCGTGATTTCCAGACTCTCGAATGCGGCCTTTCTCCAGTACCAAAATCAAGTCTGCATTGCGCACTGTTGTAAGTCTGTGAGCAACAACTACCACAGTCCGCCCCACGGATGCTTTCTCTAGTGCATCTTGCACGACTCGCTCAGATCGTGTATCCAAAGCAGAAGTAGCTTCATCCAAAAGCAGCAATTTCGGTCTGCTAACCAACGCTCGCGCGATTGCAATACGCTGTTTCTGACCTCCAGACATGCCGCCTCCACGTTCGGCGATCATCGTGTCGTAGCCCTTTAGAATGAAAAAACCGGTTCAAAATCTTGGTGTAGTATTTATGCCGAACAAATTCTACCTTATATCCATAATCATCTTAGATGGATACCAATCTTCAGTTGAACAAAACATTCTCTCTATGATAATGATGTTCATTGAGGGAAACCCTGCTCCGCCAAAAATCATCGGCTCAATAGAATGCTGCAAAACTAAAGCTCTACTGTTTGTTTCATACCGGCGGAGTTTTTTGTAATATCCCTGTGGAACATTTAGTTTCCGTGATTAACTTGAACCAGAAAGTTAGAAGACAAACACTGCGATAAATTTCTTGCGCATACTCTCATCGACTGCGTTCATATAACATGAAACATAATTACTAAACATGAAATGAATAAGGAAATATTGTGAGGGTTTATGGGTTGTTTGGGTGTGAGCCTGGGATTGCAGAGGAGTGATTCCAACCGGGGTATGCGAAGTGTAAACGTCATACGCCTTTGGAAATAATGTGGATCAGTTATAAGCGCTCTATAATGCCTCGAGTCTCCTTATTTTATAAACACGTAACAAATTCAAGAACGCCTTCGCAATGTCTAGTGATACCTTTAAACCAAGCAGTGTGTTGATCGAGGTTTGCTTCATGTGTTGCAGTCAAGTTGCAACCGATGAGGTGCACACACCAAATACTGCAGAATTCGGTTATCGTTACGATACGTGCTATGTTGTTCCTCTGAGTTCCCAGAAGACTGATTACCCTTGAAAGTAGCAAGACAGCTATCGGTTGAAAACACATTGACGTCTGTTTATATATATATATATATACTTCATTCATTCAGTCCCAAAATTCACTCCACTGTTATTACCGACGCATGATCCGATAGCATTGGTGCTATTCTTGAACCAAATGGGCATCCAATTATTTGTGTCTCGACGTTTAACAACAGCTGAACGAGGTTATGCTTGAACTCATAGCGAAGCCTCAACTGTATGCTGGGCAGTCAAATGCCTCCACAAGCTCCTTTTTGGCCGTCATTTCACCATCGCTACCAACCCT